TGAGAGGCTGCAACGCCTGCAGGACCATCGTGAGCAGCGAATGAGATGGTGCCAGGTCAGGTTTGGGGGCCTGAAGGGAGGAGAGAGGCAGCACCACGCCAGTGTGAGAGGGCGGGCGTGTTTGGGATTGGAAGCAATCAAGATGCTAGTCCATGCTGAGTCATGGAATGCATTGGCTGACCTTGGGGGGCGGGTTTGGCCTGTCCTACCTCATAGGGTTGTTGTGCAAAGATGGGGGTGGGTCACAGAGAGTCCACCTTGAGCCCTGCTGGAGCCGCTATGAAATGAAGGACGCAGTTCCCATCTCTTTAATAACTCTACCAAGGAGGGAAATTCAGGAGAGGTTGCTTACTCGGTAAGATGCCCCTGTGGAAAGGTCCTGTTCCACCTGACTCAAGGTGCATGAGCTGAATCCTCCGTTTCATGTCTCACACCCCCTTCTTCCAACAGCAAGGGGCAATTCAAGGGCAGCACCAGGATCTTCTCATGCCCAGGGTGCGGTCGAACGCTTGCCTGGGGATCCTCTCATCAACATACAAAGGCTGGAAAAAACCTCACCCTTCATCTCTCAAAACGCCGGGAACCTGCAACCCTCTCAGAACGAGCAGAGCCAGAAGGGACCCCCGAGATCATCAGGTCCAGCCTTTGTGAAGGAAGCCAGTAGGGGGAATCGAACTCCCAACCTCTGGCTCCACCGCCAGTTGTCTCCTCAAATGACCTTCCAGCCAGCCCATGCAGGATCTGGATGCACATGCATGCACATGCATGCTCGCGCGCATACACATGCACACAGAGGGGGGGAACGTTGTGTGTGGTCCTTGTACACAAGCTGAAGAATGGTTGGTACCTTGATGAGGCCACGAGAATATCAAAAACAGAAGCTGTTCTTTTATCTATTTCTTCTGCACCCAGGAATGAGCAAGACATCTGAAGGAGTGAAAGGCTGTCGTCTTTCTGCGATGTCTTTGTGGCCTAGTCAACATCCAGCCTGGACAGATTTCATGGGGGGGGGAGAGTTTGTTTGGGCCACTGAATTCTGCCGGACTCTCGGACACTTAACCACGTCTGCCTCCCCAACTCGTTCTCATGCCTGGCATAGCCGAAATGCTTGCACGCCCACGCCGAGCCCTCCCCTCCACGCAGGGCGGCCTCTCCGACAAAGCCGTGAGGTTGCCCGCGGACTGGGAAGGAGAGCGGAGGAGAGGGTGCCAAGGGAGGGGGCTGGGCAGCGGGTAGCCAAGCTGGGAGGCCGACAGCATGACGGAAGAATCCTGGGATGACCGAGTGGGAGGGCAACCCAAAGGTCATCTAGCCCAGCCCATGACCGAGGCAGGCAATCCGCAGCTATAAAGCATCCCTGGCAGAGAGCCGCTGAGCTTCAGGTGAGAAACAGAAGCCCAGTTTAAAGACCCAACGATGGGCTCAAAAATAGAACCCCTGATTTAAAAAAAAAAAAAGAATCATGATTCCTCAGAAGTCAGCCCGTATGGCCTTGTTTCCAGGAATGTGCTGTATAAACGTCAGAAAATATCAGCGCCCCCTGTCAAATTCCCACAACAAGGGCCACAGGGTTTGCATTTACAAGCTGAATCGAGAAGCCTTCCACTTAATCTGTGGCTAAGCAAACCGTTTTCTAAACTGCCCTGCCGGGGTTCTGCAGGTGGCTGCTGCGTGGCCTTTTATTTTGCAGGCCACATTCATGTTTAACCCCAGGTATATTCCATCTCACTTAACAGCACAAGAGATGTTATGCATTTATCCAGGAGCACATTGTCCTGCACTGATTCCTGGAGCAACTTGTGTTTGAAAATGGAATGCAAGATTTCCAGAAGCATACACTAATTATGCCCTTTGCTAAAAGCCAGTTGTATGTTTGGATTTCTGTCTTCATTTCCGTTGGACTGTTTACAACCTTGCATACGGCCTCCGGTGGGAGGGCCTTTCTGGGCTGAGATAACTGTCAATCACTAGCAGGACTAAACAATAGTTCCCTCCTGCCTCTGAGGTCAAAGAAAGCCCCACCTCTTTGCTCAGAGCTTCCCCTCTTTCTCTAGTGTCTGTTGAGATCCGCTGTTGAATGCAGTCGTGTCTGTCAGTTTGCTTTTTGATCTGTTCAATTGTAAGGAATGAAATCTTTTATTTATTTTTTCTCCTACTAATTTCTCTGAGTTATTGAGACCGTAAGTGCCAGTTAATGAGAGAAAGGGGTGGACTAATCTGGGGAAGCTGGAGCTATTCTCTTCTCTGAATCCCGGCACTTCTGCTGCATAGCTAGAGAAAAATTAGCGAAAGATTCAAAACTCTCTTCCACAAGGGCTTCTTCTTTTCTTTTGCCGTTGCCATTTGTATCCTGTTATGGCCATAAGTGGAGCAAACTGAAATTAACTCAGCATAGTCTAAAGATGTCACAGAATGCAGGTCTCATTCGAGGCAGTGCTTGAATGGAAGAACACATGAGAATTCAGTGCACACAAGGGTAAACCTCTTGGTAGTTTGCCATTGTTTTGCAACATGGAGAACACAAGCCATATTCCTCTTCTAAATTAAACGGGATTTCTTGTTGAAATCAAGACATCCTGGGGGGAGGGGTGGGAAAGAGGTATACCTGTTGTATGTGACTCATAGTTTGGGTCTATGTGCTCTAATGAGAGCTACATGGACAAGCTACACCCACCTGTCTAAGCTTCTTGGCTGTCATTCTAGTCCATGGACGTAAGAATTCGAAGGTCCAAATCCCTTTTGCTTACGCAAGGATTCGAAGGCCCAAATCCCTTTTGTTTACGCAAGAATTCGAAGGCCCAAATCCCTTTTGTTTACACAAGAATTCGAAGGCCCAAATCTCTTTTGTTTACGCAAGAATTCGAAGACCTGAATCCCTTTTGTTTACGCAAGAATTCGAAGACCCGAATCCCTTTTGTTTACGCAATAATTCGAAGGCTCGAATCCCTTTTGTTTACACAAGAATTCGAAGGCCCGAATCCCTTTTGTTTACGCAAGCATGCGAAGGCCTAACTCCTATTTGTTGATACAATTGCAAAAGAACAATTGTGCAAGCATCCGTTCTCCAACACACTTTTCTTTGCACACCCAGTCACGTACCGATTGCAACACTGACCGTGCAAACACGATCAGCCATGCGATGGGACAATCCACCATAAGAGAAAACACCCTCCTCTTTATGGTTTTCTCAGTTGGATTTTGGACCACGGGGGAAACAAAGCCGATCCCACAACGTCTGCTCACATCAATACACCCTGTTCCAGCGGAATCCAGGCAAACGCCGAACAAAAGAATCTCTCCTTCCAGTAAACAGCTATTCATTTCAACTCACACCATGACCCTCCCGGGGCATCAGGGCACATACTGTGCCACGGCTATAAAACGTAGCTCAAAACAAAACGAAACAAAATCCAGTCCCTACCTAATATTCATTGAATGGGTAGCGCATTCCCATGGGCACCAAGCACAGCCCTGCCCAATCCTCTTGGCGCAAAAGGCTGTTGAAACAATGACACCAGCAGAGCTTGGAGACGCTTATATATATTTTTTCTAGTGCAGCTCTCCAGATAACTCACCAGTAGCCAGGCTGGTGTGGGATATTCCAGCAAAGAGTGCAGGAAAGGAAAGAGAAGAGGGTGATGGAGCTGCCTGCCTTGGTGGGGTCATATTCAGGTTCTCAGGATGTGATCAGAAGGCCGCAAAGCTGTGCACCTGATCACACTGGAAAGAGGCACTTTGATGGGAGCAGTCTCCCTTAAAACCACCTTTCTGTCTGCTCCAGCTAGGCCCCTGGAAAGTAGGAGCCAGAAAGTTCCAGCTATTGAACAGTAAAAGAATTTATTCTAAACTTAGCATCTACAGGAAGATTAATTAGAGCTAAATACTGAGAATTAAAGCATGGGGTTCCATTAAATGGATGGTATAAAGAAGTATGGAATATTGCTATTAATGTTCAACAAACTTGTGATACTGTACTAAGTTTGAAAAAGGGGTTGACAAGCAAAAATGTCTTTAGAGATATTGGGGGAACTTTTGTTGATTAAGTATTCTTTGAAAGGAAGGGTCATGTGCTATCAAAAGAATCAATGTGGTTTTGGGAAGGGAACAGGGTAGTGTGAATAAAGCCAATGCAGCAGGTCTTCAGAGAGCCCTGGAGGAGGGGGGCACTTGGTGTCAGGATGGATGTATTAAGTGCCTTATGAATTTTGTGTTTTCTTTGTGTGTGGCGGTGGTGGCGGGGAGTTCCAGCTTTGGGTCAGCCTGGAGCGCATTTCCCTGTGTGTTGTGTTCCACCGGACTGCTCCCCAAGCAGTCCACATTGCAATCCTCATGCAAATGGACTTTTGCAGGTTTACGAGACCGTTCTGGTCCTTAGGGTGGGGGTGGGTGGGAGGGAGAGGGGTTACCCAGAAAGCTGATGGGTCCAGAAAGGAGGATAGCTTCCCAACTTTCAGAAGGAACCCGGTAACCTTTTCCTTGAGAGCAGCTGGGAATAAACCACCTGCAGTTCTCATGGCCAGCTTTCATTTCCATCCTTTCTGCCCTCTCCTCAGTAACTGCTTTCCCGGACCTTCTTTCCTCTCTCTTGCCATTCCATGTGTTGGGCTCTTTTGTTTCAGATGACACTGACAACCCTCATGACGGGCACAAAAAATACAGACCAAGCTGGCAAGCAGGTGAGTATTTTATTTATTTATTTTATTTAGTTAACTTATATGACGCCCACACCACCCAAAGATCTCTGGAGAGTAGGAGAGAAGGTCCGGGATGGGAGGAATACAGGATAACTGCCCCTTACAAAGAAATCAGATCTCACAGTGGGGAAAGATATCTGTTTGTTTTAAAGAGAGCACGATATTTTCATTTATTTTTGACTCTTGTTTTGAAAAATGAGAGTCTCCTCCTGCTTCCTACACACAATCTGAAATTGTGGAAGTAAAAGCTACTTAATCAAGGACTAAAGGACCAAGCCCGAGACCTACCCTATTTTGGGGTCACATCATGAGAAGATAGGACTCATTGCAAAAGACAGGCTTGGGAGTTGTTGAAGGCAGCAGGAAAAGAGGAAAACCAAATAAGACATGGATTGACTCAATCAATCAAGGAAGCCACAGGCTTGAGTTTGCAAGAGCTGTTGAAGACAGAACTTTTTGGAGGTGATCAATATATAGAGTTACTCCAAGTGGGAAGTTGATGGCACACCATGGTAGCAAAAGCTACTCTGTACATGCTTAGAAGTACACATTACTTTACATAACCAAGAGTTTAAAAATAACAATATTCGGTAGCTCCTTTCTCCAAAATACATATGGAAACCACACCACACTTTACCCTTTTTCAGTTTGGGGCAGACACAAGTTAAGAGTTTCTTGTTTATCCTCAGAAATAGGTCTTCGCTCTTTCACAATGTGTGGGGAAAGTGCCTCTCTTTTTTTGCCCTACAGTCGCCATGCTGCCTGGGGGATTCTGGGAACTGTAGTCCCAAAACCTTACTCTTCCAAGTTCTCCGGCTCTTTTTGTGTCACCATCAATGTTCTAGTCCTCACTGCCACACCTTTATTGCCTCTTGCCTTCAAACATGGCCAGGGAGGGAAGGAAGGAAAGGCTCCCTGGTTGTAGAAGGAAGCAAGGGAGAACCAACAGCCCAGCTTCCCCCTGATGATGGGAAGGGTGTGTCTCTCCCAATTTCTTTTGGTAAGGGTGTGAAGGAGGCTTGCAGCCTTGTTTTAAGCTAGGAAGTTCATCCAAAGCAGCAGAAGCTCACCCAAATCAGAGGCGTGGGAGGGGTGACCCTCACAGCTGGCCTAGCTTGGATCAATTTTCCTGCCAAAATCTAAAACCAAGGGGAGGCGATCCTTTTATCAGACCATTAAACCCTCAGAAACAGGCAAGCTTTCAAGCCCTAAAAGGACACTTCATCAGGCCTGGCATGGCACCCCTTCTCAACACTGCCAAGCTCATCGGTGCCCACCCTGATGTGGAGTCCAGCAGGATTCAAAAGCTAACCTGTTTTTTTCAGTGCTCTAACAAAGGTAGCCCTCACCCTTGCTTCTAGATCTCCCAACCCATTGTAACCCTTGCTTCTAGATCTCCCAACCCATTGCACACCCACCTTCCTTCCTTCTGTCCATCATCAGCTCCTTCCTTTCTTCCATATCTAGCAAGGGTCGAGCACACCTTCTCCAAGGGCATGCCATAAGAAAGCCTTAGCTAGCTCCGCTTTTCCTAGAAAGGGGGGGAAACCCACTCTGCACGGGCTCAGAGGCACCCCCTCTTTACCAGTTCTGGAGTTTTAATTGAAAAACACGTCGGGGGCCCGGGAAGGATGGGGCGCTTCGTTACGCCGCCTCGAGTGCCCGCCGGTACTCACGATTTCCACGATCATCAGGATGGCGAAGAGGGATTTGAGGAACTGGAAGTCCACGGCGGAGGAGCTGAGGCCGGGCGCCCCGGCGGGGCTGCTGGTGCGGGTGCTGACTTTGGCCGGGAACTCGGACATCTTCGGGGGCTCCCCCCCGCAGGGGACGCTCAACAGGGCGAGGGGACGAAAGGAGGGACACCCCGGTCGGGGAGGCAGGCAGGCAGGCAGGCAAGCAAGCCGGCGGGCAGAGACGAGCCGGCGCGGAAGGTGCCCAGGAGCGCTGCGCTTTTACGCACGGCTCATGGTGCCCCGACGGCGCGTCCGCCCGGCCGCGTTTCCCCGGGCTGGCTGGCAAGGCTGGCTGGCTGGCAAGGCAGGCGGGCAGAGGCGGGGGGGGGCAGGGGCACGGGGGGC